CCCCAAAACCCCAAAACCCCAAAACCCCAAAACCCCTCATTTAACATTTAGTATTGAGAATATCAAATAAGATGTTATTAATCGCTCTATTAACTTCTTGAGAAATGATATCCAAGAACAATGATGATGGATGATGAAAATGCTCATACCATTCCAAGAATCTGCAATATATTTGGGACTCTAGAATATACTACTGCTTCAATAATTGTTTGATACACTCCCACAGTCCCTACCAAAGCACTCGCTGGTCCACCTTTACCTTTTAGAATGGCAAAGGCCATTAAGAATTGGGCAGAGGCATATAGGATACTTGTTGCTTGAGCAAGGCCGATCTCTTTCCAAGTTATATCCAATCCTGTACTCATAAAAACAGTAAATATGATAACATTAGTAAAATCAATCATCAAAATAAAAAAGGAGTAAAAAGCCGACACGTTTGCTTCGTTATTTTTAAAAGCAAGGAAATATTTTACTACTATACCAATTAAAGCTTCTAAGAAAATAGCGAGGAACATAAGCCCCATAGAGATAAACATATAGTCTCTCTTATGTCCTTCACTATCTGATTGTTGTGAAAGCCCTATGAGAACAACAGAACCCGTGGAAAACAAAATACCAATAATCTCAAAATATTTGAGTTTTTGATGGTATAAAAACCTGAACACGATAGCATTAATTATCGGTTTGAAGATGCAGATTGCCATGATGATCCCATTGTTTATTCCAGCTTTGTTCGCAAAGTAATAACTCATTGTAAATGAATAGAACTGAATGGGAAGAACAATCACACAACCAACTGTTAGAGCCACTCTTGGGCATCTAATATTTTGATTTTTTCAACCACGATTAGGGTGTTTGAAATAAATGCCTTTAAACCAGTTGGGGTTTCCTCTACGATGGTCAAATATTGAGACCATTGTGAGAAGAGAACTACATCATAAAACACTCCCTGGCGATTGGATTACCATGGTCAGATATGTGAATTTAGCTAGCGAGCTTATTATTGTATTCCCAATTGCAAATACTATCCCTGCCAGAATCGAGGTAGGAACCCACTAAACATACCATATTAAATCTAAAATCTAATTTTGTATAAATAAATCAAAATAATTACCTGCCAAGGACTAGCATGCATTGTATTATCAATTTCAGCCTCAGTAGATTCTCCCTCTTGGTCTTTGTCACTCGTGAGCAATGATTGACTTTCTTCAGTCAAATGCCTATTAAGCTTCATGCAAAATTATTAAAATCTTTACTTAACAACTGTTCCATTAATCTTCTTTTCTTCCATCTTGAGATTCGATGAATTATTAATAAATAACAATCATGGATTACTATGGGGTTTTGGGGTTTTGGGGTTTTGGGG